GCTTGGGCTCAGAATTTGTTTGGCTGACGACGGCTGACAAGCCTGAATTAACTGTCACTGTAGTTTTTGAAAAACAGTTTTTTTGTATTCCAATCCCTCCTACTCGGTAGGACTGATGTGTCCTCCAAAAACTTGGTGCCCTTCCTTCTACGCATAGCCAGAGGTTGCAAGTTGTAGCTGAAACAAGCCAGTCTTTTATCTGTTCCTCTTCCCCTACCAGCAAAGCTGGCATCTTGGAACAGTTTGAGGGTCACCGCGCGCCCATCACCGCAGTCCGAATTCCCTGCGTCGAGGGCTCCGCCGAATCCCCACCCCTCTTTCTCACCACTTCCATGGACTGCAGTGTGAAGCTTTGGTCAAAGAAGGACACCTTCCCTATCTTCTCCTTTGACGACCGTATCGCCTACTTCCTCGATTGTGACTGGTCCCCTGTGCATCCGGCTCTCTTCACCACCGTGGATCTCGGCGGACAACTGGATGTCTGGAATTTGAACCTTGATCATGAGGTAGGCCTAGAAAGATGACTGGCTGCCTACTCACCTACACTAGGCATGTTACCTTACTCCTCTCTCTGTTTGACCGCGATTGCCGCCCTCTACTATATCTCCCAATGCTGAATTGAAGTCCATTTTGATCCTTTTTACGTGGAGCAGAATGCTTGAATTGTGGTGCAAAACCATATGCAGGAATGGGATGCCTGTATACTTGTTTTTGTGTTTTCATGTTGCATCTGTTTGTTCATTTATTTCTATCTGGATACAGGACGGCGCCTTACACAAACGGCCCCACAGAACTGTATCAAGTGCAGTGTTCACACCCCAGTAACTGCTTAGATTTTCCGGGAAAACCAGATAGGGATGGACTGTGTGTCGGTTAACTGCTGGTTAACTTGAATGAACGGTGACTGCGACAGTACGAAGGACTCCCCTCAAAATACGAGGTCTTTATTATTGGTCATGCCCTACAGTCGGAAGGAACCAATCATAGTTTGGCTCTCGAGGCCCGGGGTTCTGATGATGGGTTGGCATCTGTTCTACGGCTCACCGCTGAATGTAACTATGATCAAGGCCTACTTCACAACCCTGCGAGTTCTGGCTCATAGCAACCTCTCTCAACCGTTCGATATGCAGTTTGCTGTTTGACAGGGCTGCGTCCTGTCGCCCATTCTGTTTAGTTAAGCTGTTGACTGGATTCCCGAGAAGGCCCTACCTGAAGAGAACGGTGTTGAGCTTGCACCCAGACGCCAGCTTTCTGACC